AACAAACCGTTGTCATCTACGTGTGAAATTTTCTTTAAGGTTGCATGCAGTTGCTACTCGGTTATTGCATAGAATCTGGGTTTGCAGTACACTACCCAATGCTGAGCAGAGGGATCCATAACAAATTAAAACGGATATGAAGTTATCTTAGGGAATTCAATAGGAGTTTGTGGAAATCTAAGTAGTTAATTGTGTTGTTTGATTAAAAAGAGTCCTATGAAAGTAGCTTCAATGTATATTTCATCAAAATAAAAGGCATTGTGATATATCACTCTGCTTTTTGGTTACTTCACACTATATTTTTGTTGGACTTGGACATTATCACAAAAATTTTAAGTTAAGGGCTTGTCCAATTGTTTTTCATGCAGCATTTATTTAGTTGATCATGGCTTGGACTCATTTGCTACAAAAATAGTTCTAAATACGAATCATGACTTGAAATTGAAGGTGTGCCACACTAAAGTAATTGCGGTACACATGATTCCTCATTCTTTGAGTTTCATGTTTATTGATTTCTAGATGAATTTGGATTATCCAAAATTGTGGTCATGGTAAAAAAAAAGGTTTCTTGGCATGAATTTTTAGATGATGTGAAAGGAGTAATGGTCTATATATGAAGGTTCTGAAGGTCAAGAGCGGCTAGTGGGCTAAAATGAGATTAATATAGTTTTGAATTCAAGTAGCTTTTAGTTTTTTTTTTTTAAGTACAATATACTTCTAGCTTTAGTTAACAAGGTTTATGGAAATGAAACAACAATTGTTCATGTTAAAATTTGGGTTTATGGAGCGCCATTTACTGTTTTATTATTTGTAGTTTGGCTGACAGATTGTTGTTGTATTTGCAAAATTATGGGTACATAGAACTTAATATATTTTTTTGTTTAAATGCAAATGGTAAATTAATGTGAATTTATTTCTGGACATTTATGTCTTTTAAAGTTCATCTAATCAACAAGAATTTTGGCTTGACTTCCAGGTCTCGAAGCACTATGAATTTTTAAAATCAAAACTTTCGGAATCAACTTCGGCATCATTTGAATCGTCTTAAGCATATATAGTCAAAATGTGCATTCCGTTGAGATAATGAGTTCTTGCTTAATTTAGACGTCAAATATTCTGACATGATTATAAAATTTCTAGGCTAGTCAATGGAGAGTTTAGGATTTTGGTGGAAAAAAACATCAATAAAATTTCTATATATAGATCTTCATTCAACACTTGAAAGAAGAAATACTTTTAGTGGAGAGAGTTCTAGGATTTGTGTAATGTTAGGCTAGAGAACTCACCCTCTACCGGGATAATACATTCTAGCACATAAACAAACATGGTATAAGGTGGGTGGTTCTTGAACAAAGCAGATGCATGAGCACATAAACAAACATGGTATAAGGTGGGTGGTTCTTGAACAAAGCAGATGCATGAGCATGTATCTGGTCTAATTGGGGGATGATTAGAAAAAATGATGTAATGGGGAGTCTTGATTTGTGTTTTGAATAAATGAGTTTTAATGTGTTTTGCTTCTTCCTCTTTTCTACATTAGCAAATTTCGACTGGCAGCCATGGCTAGAAGTAAATGCCAGATTGAATCATAAAGCCGCCCCATATATTTCTTTTCCATTGCTTTCTTCTACGTTCCTCCCCTCCAACTATCACCTCCATTTTAATGACCTATGGAATGGTATGTTGTGTCCGCCGACGGTGTTCGGAATTATTGTGATTGATCCATTGGTGTTCCCACTGTATTGTGCTGTCAAATGCCTCTGTTGCTCAACATACAAAACTTAATGAACTTGCAGAGTATGAAAAGGATTCCAGTGGCAGCCCTAGTGATGAGGACATCAAAGATCAACGGCTACGATCGTGTCTACTTATTTTGATGTATTTTATTTGTTATTTGTACTTTTCCATTTATACCATCACTTGAGGGTTTTGTCTTATGTGGCCCTAGGGGCATTTGTGTCTTTTTTTTCCTTCATGTATTTGGCTATTTAAGCCTTCCCCTTCCTCTTGGAAAAGAGATGATGATTATTATGAAATTCTTCTCTTTGTGTTCTCTTTGTGAGTTCATAGTTTCTTGATCTCTTGGTGAGATCAATTCTTTTAGATCTCTGTTTGAGTTCTAAGGAAAGCCCAAGGTGAGGGCAAAAGAAATACCCGCCAGTCGTCGGAAGCGTCCTCGACTCGTGGTTTATTTTTATCTTATTGTTTCCTTCTCCAAATCACATTTTCCTCCTCCCCACGCCAAGCCCTACCCGAGATCCCATCATCCACCACATTACTCATTAGCTTCTTCCACCACAACCCAAGCTCCATCAAGAAATCCCCAAACCCGATGGCAAGGGCCCCTCTTTTCCCCCTTTTGCCGCCGGGCCCACCACCTTTGCCCCATATGAAGTATGGTACAATCATCATAATTTGGGGCTCCTGATTTGTGTCCTAGCAAATAAAAAAAGTAGTTACCGAATTTTTGGAATTCAAATGTGGGAATAATATCCAAAATAAACTTCAATTGCCCAAAATTCCTAAATAACAGGAAAAGTTTGCGAATGAATCCAATGCCAAAATCCGAATGGACATGTGGAATTTATGTAATTTTTCAATACAAGGTGCATATCGACTTTCAATTGGGAAAGCGCCGAATCCCTTCCAAATCTCCCCTCTCCCTACTCTCACCCTCTAGGTTGTTGCGCCGGGGCCCCCATGAGGATTCCCCCATTGGGGATTGCTCCTTAAATGCCCCAACCTTAATTGAAAATTGAAATTAATTCAAAATTAAATCTTTCTTCCATAAAATTTCAAATTCTGAAAATTAAATTTCAGGATTGTGAATTAATATTCCCCTTCCCTCTCCCCTCCTCTAACCCGCCGGCCTTTGCTTGGGATTATTATTCCATTAAATGCCACTTTAATGGCCCATTGATCACATGGAGTTGGGATTTCAAAAATTTCCAAAACCCAACTTAAAAGCCCTGCAGGAAAATTCTGGTCCAGCAATTTTTCCAAGTTAAGAAACTGCTGGTCCGGAAGGATAAATTTCCATTAAAAATGCCAACTTTATTGGCATTGCTCAACATGAGTTGGATTTCAAAAAAATGCTATAAAAAACTTACCCTTAAAAAAACCTGCAGTAAATTGCTGTCCAGCAATTTTCCAAGTAGAAACTGCTGTCCAGGAAGCTCCAACCAGCCATAGTGCTGCCAGGTTTTGCTCTTGTCTGCTGACCAGCATTCCACGCATCGTCCCAGAGAGTTTTGCAACCCTGTTTTTCGGTCCAGCTGATTGGTGAAGGCCTGAGTGCCGTCTACTACCCAAGGGTTTGTCAAAGTGCTGTCCCAAACGGCCAAAAAAAATTCGTGGTGCCGTCCATCCCTCCCCAAACACTCAAACAACCACGTCGGAGCTCCGCATTTGTCTTCCCTTGGTAAACTTTTCTTCCTATGCTTATATCTTCCTAATTCACCCTTCAAGTGTGGTTATATTTGGATTCACAAAGCTCATGTCAAGCTCTTCACCGCTAAAGCCTATTAATTAGAAGAGTTGTGTGAGGGATCTTTCATAGCCTAATCTTATTGTTAGTATTGGAATTTCTCGTTGAAACCACTCATGTATGCAAAGTAAGATTTAGTTGACTATTTCATGATCTCAACCTCTCGCATGTGTTTAGACCAAAGCTATTTTATCACCTTAATGTTATCTTATCGTTTACATCAATAGAGGATTTTGCTTAACATTGCTCTCTAAAATTTACAAGTGCAAACTTCCTTAAGCAAGTTATTTTCGCATGGATTGTATCACATCACCTAGTAATGTTGTTCGATGCGTCGAATGGCTATGGCTAGGTTGCATTTGTCATCACCGCTCATAGTTGATACAAGGATGATTATAAAGATTGAGTTGGAAACCATGGTTGCTTAAACTTGCTGACAATAAAATGGACAGTACAACTATCCAGTTTAGTTTGTTAATCCTGTTTGTGCTGATTTGTGCTACCTTTCTCTGAAGTCTTTTACATGGTGCTGTTCAGTTGGACTGAATATGCTACAAGCTCCTACTGGTTCAACTGATCAAATTACTTACTCAAGTGACCTATCCCCTATTTTCAACCCTGAGAAAAATCTTAATAATAATCAATGGGCATGTATATAGTTCTAAGCTAACAATTTTAGTGCATATTTATATCAGAATCTAGAAGGTTTTTTTATAAAATTTTGTGATAAACGTTCAAAAATATGATTAGAATTTGAAGGTCATGGTTCTGATACAACGATTGAAGAGACAAGAAAATCTGTAAAAGGTCGAGTTATCCTTTAGATATAGCCCACCAGTTCAACCAAAAACAAAAAAGATAGCTAAATGCCTAAATCTTTTTCCATTTAACAATTTTGAACCAAGCTTCAAGTCGGGTAGGTATAGTTGTGTTGTAGGTTTAGAACATAGAAATGAAGTTGATTGAAATATCTAAAAAAACCAAGGGAAAATGAAATCATCATAACCTATGTTTATGGCACAAAATGTTTATTTGATGAACTAAAAGTCATGAGTTTTAGCACAACTCCACTGGGTGTAGGATACTTAGGCTTTGTTTGGGATAACTTTCTTATTGCTTCTAAAAACAGTTTTTTTAGTACAAAATTAAAATTTGTTTACTAGTAATTTTTGGACTAGAAAGCTACATTAAGATGCAGCAAAAAAATTGTCCCAAATGAAGCCTTATTTGCTACCTTGAACTGTTGTCTGAAATTATGAGAAGTACGGTTTATTCTGAGTCATAGTGATGAAGTAGAGTTGATTTCATGTAAAGCTATATATAGATTCATTTCATTCAAACTGGTCTCTCTAACTTGAGTTTGAGTTGATTTTTTCTAGAACTACATAATGATTCTTCTTATTCATCGGTGCACTTCTTTCGTAATATTCATGTTTGATGAAATTCTTGTTAATTGCCACGTTTTTTGGTGGACATTTTGATTTTATAAATTAGTTTTGATTATCCTTGCAGTCTTCAGCTTCTGCCAAGAAACTGAAATCAAAGCCAATTGGGAAGAAACACCATCTCACTGAAGAAATACTTTCAAATGGAGAGTTGGGTGAGACTGCCACATTTTCTGATAGATTGCTGCTGCCACCCTTTTCTCATGGTAAACTTTCTTAGCTAATCAAAACTGGAGAATGGAGAAATGCTCTTTTATTCCCTGGAAAGCTTAGAATCTTCACAGTTTCTATTGACAAAACATTTAAAGGCAAAGTGAAGGTTGGACACTAAATAGTTTTTTCTTCACAGAACATGCACGCTATAAACTTATGATTGAATAGCCACTTACGGTCACCCAGACATGTCATGGAAAAGTCATAATAGTTGTTTTAAAATTATAGGAAATGGACATTGGTGTATAACTAACACACACATGTGTATTAAATGCTGTTTCTTTCTCTTTTTTAGCAGACTTTTAATCAAATTTTAGTATGAAGATAGGTTTCTGATAAAATTTGGGAGGATAATTTGAGAAATGATGACGTATGGATGTTGATATTGAGGATAAGTTTGTAGATTATAGACGGGTTTTGAATATGGGCAGCAAATAATTCGCTAATAAGATGGATCAATAAAATTAATATGAAAGGATTAACAAATGAAAAGGCATATAACAAAGGTAACATGGTAAAAGCTGTATAAAAGTTTTGCATGATATAACCAGCACGTTATGAAGCATTCAACTGAAAACTGCGGGTCTTGCATCTGTGGGGTTGGTTGCTGGTCGGCTCGCCGAGGGATTAGTTACGCTACCAAGCGCCTCTTATGGGATGGTAGTGGTAGATACCCCGTTCCAAAAAAAAGCATTCAACTGAATTGATTGGGGATTGGGAATTTATAAATCTCACCTACATAGTTGGGGATGTAGTTGGGACAAGACTAATGATGACGGAATCACAACCCTGTTACTGAATCAGAATCAGCTTGGCTAATATAAATCTTTGGCTAAAGAAAGATTGATGTAGAACTGCTGCTGGATGGGGGCGGTGTAACTTTGCCATTATTTGGCAGTGGGCTTTTCTTGGGTGGTGGAAATTTGAAATTATTTTTTGGGGTTTGGGGGCCGCTGCTTCTATTAAGCCATAGATTAATGCAATTAGGAGTGGTTTAAGAGTGGAATATATTGTATTTTTGCTCTTGATTTGTTTTGGGATGCTGTTTTTGGTAGCCTATATCTTGTGACTTTCAGATTGGGGAGTTGCATGCCGTATTCAATCTCGTGACTTTCAGATTGGGGAGTTACAGAGAGAGATCCTTATAATGCAGTACTTTGAACCAGTTTTCATTGAATATTTCATTGAGTGTTACAGTTTCCAATGACACTAATTTTTCAGAAAATGTCGAGGTAAAGCCGAAGGAGCAAAATGCACAAGAATCAGCAACATTAAGCCCTCCCTGTTCTCTCAATCCAAGCGAAAGAACGCCAAAGAATGGAAGGATACCCAAGGCAAAATGTACTAGAAAATCCAATATCTCAAATGAGAAAACAACCGTGGAAATTGAGGAGAATATCAAACTAGAAGAGGTTACCAAGAAGCCAGCAAACCCATTGGACCGGACAGTAATTGATACGCAATTTGATGGCAAAGAGCTTGCAAAACACGCAGAAGATGGGGTAAATCCGAGGAGAGGAAGCAAGCGTGAATCTGTCTCCAACTCAAAGGAGAATTCCAAGGAAGAAGACAAGGTGATGCCGCAAGTTGACAATATAACTGTGAAGTTTCATCTGACATCGAATGAGAAATCAAAGGATCTTCTAGGAGACGAGATGGAACTTATTGTGGCCAACCAGAAAGCATCAGCTAAAAAAGAAGACTTTTTGGATCCACGAAATAAAAACCTCTCAGAACTGGAGAAGGAACTTCCAGTGGTGGTGGGAAATCCCTCAACTCCAGATTTGGTGAAACCAAAGCATGGAAGCAGAAAAGCAAAGGCTGTCAATGCAATATCCAGTCCTCGGCGATTTTCAAGACGGCTAGCTTGCGTCGAAGCTGACCTTGCGGCAGATGTAGATATGGGCGGTGAGCGCCCTCGTGAATCGAAATCCAAGAATACCATGACAAAAGAATCCCCTCAGATGCAGAAAAGCATGGAAGGCGAGGCTACGAAGACCATGGAATGCCTTCAAAGAAAGAACACCATGGAAAATGGAGCGGCCGCCGTCATGAATCAAGCAACAAGTATCTGGCCAGATTTCCCATCAACTTCACCATTTGGAGATTCCTGGCTTGATCCTTGTCTAGAATTTGCATTCAAGACACTAACAGGTGATCTCCCAGTTCTTGATGATGCAATAGCAATTCAAGAATATTTCCAGCAGCAGCTGGTTTCAGTTGCAGGCTCAACAAACCCAGATCTTCACTCTCCTATATCAAATAACAAAGCAGAAGCTGCTCCTGCTTCTCATGAGGTAGAGTTTAAGCTACCTAGTGAGCAGCATATGCAAGAAAGGTATCAATTAGGTGCAATGGAGAATAAGTAAATGTGTTCTGATGAGATGTACAAGACTTCCTGTAATGGTAAGAATTTGTAGGTTAGCTACTGTGCCTGAGTGACTTTTAACTTGTAGGCTCTATGGGATCTTAGTTTAAAAACACCCCCTAATGCAGGCCATGTATTTTTACAATGCACTATTATACATTGGTAGCCGTTGGTTAGCTTCTAATAAGATTATTAGTTGGAGGATAGAATCACCAATGAATTCTATTGGAGTTATAACAAAATATTCACTCCCTTTCTTTCAATTGCTCTCTCCCTTTTATCATCTTTTTTTTACTTAATTTACTAAGAAAATAATCAAAATAGTTCTTTGACTTCTTATGAAGGATTAAAATGATTCATAATTATTTTGATTTTTTTAAATGATCAGTCTTTTTAAGTCTTTAAAAACGAATCAAAATAATCTCTTTCGAAATGATTCTTTAATGGGATTATTTGAATTATTTGAAGGAGTTGAGGGATCAAAATGATCTTCTATTATAATCGGAGAATATTTTGATCATTCATAAAGAGTCGAAGGATTATTTTGATCATTTTTTCCTTGGGGCATTTGCATGGACATGTGATTAATTTAAAGCACTTGTAGTATTCATTTCAACTCATCTTCTATAAAGTTAATATAAAGTACTTAGCATGAGAAACATTTCTTACTAATAATATGCCATTAGAAAATACACTGCTAAGAATATCTAATATTATGTCAAAAGATGATGATATTTTGATATAGACACCAAAATTATTGGGTTTACTTTAATATTAATGTAACATAAAATTTTTATGTTATATTAATTTCAAAATAAATTCAATAATTTTTAAATTCATCCTAACATAAATATAAATTCAATTCATAAATATGCATTGAATATTTCTTGAAATGTGAATATAACTCATCAACAATTTTGCAAATATATTATTCTTATCAACAGATTTTAAAAAAAATAAGATTATTTTCTCAGCTAAAACAATGCTAATACTGACCAAATACCAATTTATCTCACACAAGATATTATTATATATTGTTCTAACTTTTTTTTTTCCTTTTCTTTATGAAATAATATAAGTCATGCCAGAGATTTTTTTCATTATTTGTGACATCATCAATTCATAGCATTCCTTGCATAATATAAGCAACATGTTCACACACACACACACACAAACCCCTTCTGTGCTACTTTCTTGATAAAAAAATCTCAATTGATGAGCACAACTTCACTGGGTCAAAATATATCAAACAAACAGTTTAAACAAATCTGTAAAGCTTACTTGGTCGTTGGAAAGATATAATTTACGTCCCAGATCTCCTTTTCAAGAGCGGAAGCCTCAAAAGAGGGAGTCATTATTGTGTCTGGACACCGAACACGTCTAGAGACCAATAACAAAGTGCCACATCACTTGGGTGCTCGATACCGAGCACTCGGTATTGCTCGGTATTTGTCCGGATTTTCGATTTTTTGTCCGGACGTAATAACTTTTCCAAAAGAGGAAGCCTTGATTCATTTACAACTCGTAGTAGCACATCGCAAATATTTCGAAAAAGAATATCACCCCACTCTTGAGCATATTATAACTACAGTTACAACAACAACAACAACAACAACAAGCCTTTTATCCCACTATATGGGCTCGGCTACATGAATCATTTTTCTTCATTGTGTCATGTTAAGAGTTAAATTCTCATTTAAATCAAATAAGGAAAGGTCATTTCTAATATTTTCTAACCAAAATTTTTTAGGTCTACTTCTACCTTTCTTAACATAAGTAAAATCTAATACATCTACTTTCCTAATCGAGCCATCGAAAGGTTGTCGTTTTATGTGACCAAACTATCTAATTCAACAACTCTCTTTGATATTATCTTCTACTAGAGCTATTCCAACTTTTTCACGTATGTGCTCATTTCATATCCTGACTCTAAAAGTAAAGCCACTCATCCACCTTAGCATCCTCATCTCTGCAACACTTAACTTAATGTTATGCTTCCTTTTTAATGGCTAACATTCTGCACCATAAAGCACTGCAGGTCTAAGCACAATCTTATAGAATTTTCCTTTAAGTTTGAGGGGACTTTTCTATCACACAACAAGCCTGATGCATTCCTCCACTTCAACCATCCAACTTAAATTCTACTAATAATACCTCCATATATTTCACCATAATTTTGAGCAATAGAACCCCGATATCGAAAACGTGTACTTTTATTAATGACTTGATCATCCAAAGTCACAATCCCCCATTAGATCTATTATTACTAAAATTACACTCTATATATTTAATTTTAGATCTACTCAAGCAAAAACCTTTAGACTCTAAGTCAAGGTTGACCTCCATAATTCAAGTACCTTCAACTCCCTCTCTAATCTTATCAAAAAGAAGAATATCATCAACAAAAAGCATACACCAAGGTACATCCTCTTGCAAATGAGATCATTCATGACTAAAGCAAAAAGATATGGGTTTAAGGCTGATCCTTGATGTAACCCAACAGACATTGGGACTTTAATATTTATTGATGTACATATTATCAATGAACAATAATAATGTGTGAAAAATAATTTATTGTGTGCCATATTTTTGTAATAAAATGAATCATATAATAAGAATAAGTACTGATTTTAGCATATTGAAGTGCATATTTAAGCTAAATTCTAAATTTTTTTAGATTCAAATGTTCAATTACTCGCTCTCTCTCTTTAATGATTTTTTTTTTTTTTTGATAAATTAAAATTTTTTTCTTAATAATAATAAGGTAAAAGAAAATGATCATTAAAGAACTATTAAGGGTTTAGAGAGTTGGGGTTATTGGATTCTTATTAAAATAATTTGAATTTGCAATTTGTCAATTGCCAAATGTAGATGGTAAGTTTTCAAAGTAGGAGATGGTCAAATTTGCAATTATTAAAAAAAATCTAAGAAAGCAAATGTTTATTAAGCTGTAATTCATATCCTGATGCTATGAAATGTAATACCATTGAAATTATCATAGAAAATTTAATTTTTTTTGTCAAAGTTAAATTTTGTGTAATTTACATTATAGATCTTTGAAGAGAGTTAAGTAATAAACTCTTCTTATTAATTGGGTCTAATTTGCAATTGTGAATATCCAGAAATATTTTGGACATTCTTTGATCATTTGATGTAATTATTATTGTAATAATGATTGAGTCATAGTAAATAAAATTTTTTATGAAAAAAAAAAAATCTTCTCAATTTATCCTCAATCAAACAAATAGATGAATTCAAATTTCAGCACAATTACTTCACCATTTCTATGTCCATTTAATTTTATTTTCCTCTCTCTAAAATTCCCTCAAATCAAAAAAAAGCCTAAGGCTCTGTTTGGGACGGCTTTTTTATTGCTTTCTAAAACGGAATTTTAATACAAAATTTTTTAATTTTGTACTAAAACGGAGTTTTATAGAAAGCAATAAAAAAGCCATCCCAAACAAAGCCTAAGTGAACATGATAAGGTTAAGGATTCGTTTGGGACGACTTTTTTAAAAAGCCGTCCCAAATGAAGCCTAAATGGAGAAACAGTAGCTTGATCAAGTCGATTATAAATTCATACTTCTTTTTCTCAAAGTGTGATTGAACAACCACTCTTTCAAATATTAGAAGATAAAACATTAAAAGGACTTATTGAGATCTCATTTGGAATAACTTTCTTATTGCTTTCTAACACAATTTTATAGCATAAAATTTCCTAATTTAATAAAATTTTTAACTAAAAAATTAGTTTATAAAACATTAAGAAAGCTATCCCGGATAAAGCCATAAACATCTAATCCTCATAAATGGTTGCATATTTTAACACTATAAAAGTGTCAGAAAATCACCTCAACTATGTAATGGATGGATTTTTGCTCAGTGAACTTCCTCTAATGTGCTATGTGCAAGTGAAATATTTAGAGGTTATACAGAAATTTAATGCCCCGAGGCCCTGAGCATTTTCTTATAATCACTGAAAGAGCCGGCAAAAGGTGTGACCCTGCCCTCTGAAACAACCCATAGCTCACCCACACTTCCTGAGATAAGATGTTCATCATGGCTCACCTGCATTAAAATAGCATCATCATTGTAACACTATCATATACATGGTGGTTTGAATCACACAAATCAAATACTGATTTTTTTTTTTTTTTTTTTTTTTTTTTTTTTTTGGTTCCTCTAAGACTTCGTTTGGAATGACTCTCATACTGTTTCTTAAAATAACTTTCTAGTATAAAAAATTAAATTTTTGTACTAAATAGTTGTATTAAGAAGCAGTAAGAAGGCTGTCCCAAACAAAGCCTAAAACCTATAGGACGAGAGTTGCTAAGATACAAGTGAGAATCAAACTGAAAGTTTTGTCAATAACTCCCTAAGTCCTTATCTATTGGATTAATTGTACTCGCTATGTATGTAAGAGGTTAATGAGAGAGATGCATACCATTAAAACCCCGCCTTGGTAAAGAACCAGGCCTTGAATGAGTGCCTCGACTGCATCTAGATCCTGCACACAGATATTCTTTATAATACTCCTCTAGAACATGACAAAAAAATTCGGTTAAGTAGAAAATGTTGATGATAACAGGATAGCGTAGCATCTCTTGTTAAGCTCAGTGAGGATATTATGTTAGCCTCACAATGAATAGATAAAAAATATGTTAGAAATAGTAACTGGTATTGATACCGACTTAACTACTCCAAGCATATGGTTTTAGGGGAAATGGGGGGTATTACTGTGGAGTTCTGGGTGGGACATGGTGGAATCTCAAGCACAAGCTCTCAACTGGACCAATTTGCATCTCAAATGATCATGACTTAGGTTTCGTTTGGGACGGCTTTCTTTCTGCTTCTTAAAGCAGCTTCTTAGTACCAAAATTTTAATTTTTGTACTAAAAAGCTGGTTTAAGAAGCAATAAGAAAGCAGTCCCAAACGAAGCCTTAATGGCACTGAAAGCAAGTAAAAAGCAGCACCGGAATGAATGAGTAGGTAAATAAGACCAGGTCAAAAAAGTTTCATATTCCAAGACCAGCTAAATTGGATCTGGACCGAAAGTGAACTCATTATAAATCTGGCTAATCTAATAATTCTAAATTGAGCCGTTTACATAGTACACCAGACATCCAACTGAAGCAGGCCCACATAATAATGAAAATAAATCCGGAAATATTGCATTCCCTTAATATATCTCATGTATGATTAGAAAAACTAAAAGCATTCAGATTTTGGGTCAGAGAACAGCAACGGCTTGAATTTGATCATGGTTAAACCATTGAGCTTAATAGACCTACTCAGAACTGTCCAAGTTTCAAGCAGCTTGTTTGGCTTAAGCAAGTCTCAAATTTCTGAATGCATGCAGGTGACCATTGAAGATGAACGCTTATGATTTCAATTAGTGACTTTTTTTTTATGAATAAGAGGGACCTAACATGTAATAAGAACCAAAAATGCAAAGAAGAAAACAAGATGAACAATTTGAAGAATACATAGTTCTGTTGATGTACTTACAAGATGGTTTGATGGCTCATCTAGAAGAATTATATGTGGCTTCTTGAAGGTGATCTTTGCAAATGCAACTCTGCTCTTCTGACCACCTGTAATAAGAGGGAAAATTATGAAATGACAAATGCAACAAAATTTTTCCAGAGCCAATTATTTACAGATATGAGTCTACTTGTACCAACTCAGCCAGGACTACATTAACTTTTTTCCATGCATGCTAAGACATCCATGTCATAACCCATGTGTTAGTGAATTTATTATGTATAGTGAACACTAGTTTAACGTTAAATGTCTTGCTTGTAATAAAAAATTATGCTATACGTCCAAATAATTTAATGGTAAATGTTTTCATGTGCCGCAGAGGGTGTCACTTATAATGCGTAAGCTTTTTTATTTTAAATTTCATTAATGTAACATATTTCAAAATATAAACAAATTACTATATATTTAGTAATGTAATATCTATTTATCTTGAAATAATGTTATTATAATAAACAAGCAAGCATTAAGGGGTAATTAAGCTTAAAATGAACTTAGACTATGAATAAAGAATATATGATACAACAACAACAACAACATCAAGCCTTTATCCCACTACGTGGGGTCGGCTACATGAATAATTTTTCTCCATTGTGTCCTATTAAAGGTCAAATTCTCGTTTAAATCTAATAAAGAAAGGTCATTCCTAATATTTTCTAACCAAATCTTTTTAGGTCTGCCTCTACCTTTCTTAACATAAGTCAAATCTAATACCTCTACTCTCCTAACCGGGTCATTGGAAGGCTGCCGTTTTATGTGACCAAACCATCTAAGGCGACTCTCTCTAATCTTATCTTCTATTGGAGCTACTCCAACCTTTTCACGTATATGCTCATTTCGTATCCTGTCTCTAAGGGTAAAGCCACTCATCCACCTGAGCATCCTCATCTATGCCACACTTAACTTAGTATTATGCTTCTCTTTTAATGACCAACATTCAGCACCATAAAGCATTGCAGGCCTCACTACCATCTTATAGAATTTTCCCTTAAGTTTGAGGGGTACTTTTCTATCACACAACAAGCCCGATGCATTCCTCCACTTCAACCATCCAACGTGAATTCTGCTGATAATATCCCTATCTATTTCACCATCACTCTGAACAATAGATCCAAGATATTTAAAACGTGTACTCTTATTAATGACTTGATCGCCCAAAATCACAATCCCCTCACTAGGTTTATTACTACTAAAATTACACTCCATATATTCCGTTTTAGATCTACTCAAGTGGAAACCTTTAGTCTCTAATGTTGACCTCCATAATTCAAGTTTACTTTCAACTCCCTCACTAGTCTTATCAACAAGAAGAATATCATCAGCAAAAAGCATACACCAAGGTACATCCTCTTGCAAATGTCTAGTGAGAACATCCATGACTAAAGCAAAAAGATATGGGCACTTTCGATTAAGGCTAGTCATCGATCAGATACGTATAGAGATACGTGTTATCTCGCATATAGTAGCAGCAATGGGTATTGGTATTGGAGAGTTGGATTTGGAAATTGATTGGAAACTGGGAATTTGGGAAGAGTTTGGATTTTGGTATTTGAACAAAGATTTGAAAAGTTTGATGTTTAAAATAAAAAATTTTACCATTTATCACTTAAAGCAGATGGTGGGGGAATGGATGATGGACCCGATCAAAATCTCATGGTTCCGTCGTCCCGGGCCATCGTGGTCCCTGGTCTACTTAGTCAGAGGAGGTAGTCGACCCAACCTGACAGAAGGATCCTTGTCGGCAGTCATGGGTTGCTTCGTCCAAGAGGACCTTATAAACCGGGGTTGGATGTTTGTCTAAGGGGACAAATTTGAATCCACCTTAGCTAACAGAGGGCTTTGTGCCCTATCGATCATATCCTATTAGACTCCAAATACCTAATCAAACCTGTCCAGCCCAGACCCACACCTTGGGTCGACCTGGTTGACCCAGTCAACCCAATTGACCCAATTACTTCTTAAAGCTTAGAATAGGTCATTTCAACCCATTCAATGTATTGAACCCTTCTTAAACCTCAGACCAACTCAATCACACCCTTTAAGTCTCTTTGGTTGCCACCCCATCCATCTAAGTCAAGTTGACTTGGTCAACCCAAGAAACCATGGTCAAACTCCACCTTATAAAACCTCTTTCATTCATACAGAGCATATAGCCATTTGAACTTTCTACAAATCACTCAACCAGCTCATTTGGACTACCTAAGTGCCATCTCACCTGTCTTGACCAGTTGACTGGTCAAAGTCAGTCAACTTAAGCCTTAAAGACCCATCTTCATGGTCAACTTGACCTATTTAACAAGCCTAGCTCAAAACCCAGCCTATACAGCCATCTCAAATGACCCATGGACTTCCCCCAACTCCAGCTCAGTCACCTTTGACCTGTTGACCAGTCAAATGGTCAATGGGAGCTCATATAAGCTCTAAATGGTCAAACCATGTAAATTCTCCCTCTTACTCCAACCCAGGCCCATCCATCTATTGGAAGAGACTCCACAGCTAGCTTTGATGCCAACTCAACAACCCTTGACTTCTTTGACCGGTCAAATGGTCAAGGAGAGCTCAAGTGAGCTTACTCGGTCAAACTCGGCCAACTCAACTCTCTAGCCCGAACCAGGCCAATCCAGCCTTTCCAAATGATTCCAGAACCTTCCTGGGAGTTATTCTAACTCAACCCAGGCCTTGGTTCGAGCCCAGCCAGCTCAGATGGTCCCCCCCCCATGTGAAGACAAACAAGGAAGTGGCCAGCTCATCTCAGCCAGTACAGTCCTTCTCTCTGTGCTCTAACCACCTGGGCCAGGTGTAAATCATCCCAGCAACTTCCCTGATCAATCCCAGCCGCTCCTTTTGGCTCCAAACGCTGAATAGAGCAAATGAGACGGGATTTCATTCATTCCAAGCAATCCTGCATCCGAGTCGCTCCCTAGTCGCTCTGAGCTTTCGTTTCCACTCCCCAGAGCTCCTACCTCATTCTCCCAGTGATTTCCCGTCGTTCGAAGCTGCCGGCGACGAGATCAATAATTGGCCGAGAGCTCTCTCCGTTCAAACTCCCTCAACTCCGTCTCCAGTGATCCTCCAAGCTCGAAGCCTGAAGGAGAACAACACGTGGACAGCCTACAAATTCAACCGTGAAAGAATCAACCCAATCGATCCATTCTACGGTGATAAATTTTAAACCCTAGTTTGTTTTCTAGGTTCTTAAATAAAACACTAAGCATTGCATCAATGGTTCTAAGAGCTATTCCCCACTCTTCCTTAGACCCTAATCTATCTCTGCCTAAAATTTTAATTCATTTCATTTGATATTTTACGAAAACGAGACTAAAAACGATCCTAGGATTCTCGGTTCGAACGGAGGAAGAAGATGGGTTTCCTGCCGTCGGATCTATTCTGTTTAGATCAACGGCCCTGATTAAACCCGTTTTAAGACTCGTTTTAGCCGTGGTTTAGCCAGATCCTAAGCGGGTTAAATCCAGGCCATTGATCCAAACCGCGGGTATCAAATCTGTCGTTCGATCATTCCAGTTCGAATCGGATACATCTGGTCCATTGATCCAAACCGCGGGGACAGATCCGACCGTCCGATTTCTCTGTGTTGAGATCAAACCGCGGGATCCGATCTCAACCGTCAGATCGGAACCGCGGAAGATCGAACGGTCTTAAAATCCCGCTGAGCTGGTTAAGTGGCGGGTCCCGTTTGACCGCCGCCATCCGTGTGGACAACCCTGCTCCCGTCGCGTGTCCTGGCCAGCGCCGTCGTTTGACCGAGCCTTTTTAAAATTTAAAATAAATCCAGAAAACCTCCATAATTTAAAAATTTCATCAGAATTTCATTTCTGATCCGATTTTGGAGTTCTTGGGTTTGTTTTGTTCGTATTTTTAAGTACTATATTTTAAAAATAAATAAAAATTATTTTGATTAACAGTTTATTAGTAATTTCAATAATACATAAAACCTTACTTTATTTTTAAATAAAAATATATAAAACATCTTTGGCTGAAACTTGGCAGAGGGGTCTTAGGGTCTAAGATTGATGCTCCATAATTTTCTTAAGCCATTTTGATGCAATATAAACTGAATTAGGAATTTACAAAATCTAGATCATAATTTGATCTTGATTTTTGGAAATTCATAATCTACTCAATTTAGAACTCATTTCAAGCATATTAGGGTTCTATGGAGTCAGTAAGAGTCTCTCTTTTACTGATAAGTGGGCTTGGTTTCTTAATTAAGTATGATTCTATAGAGATTTATTTGTTTTAGAATACTAGATTATACATGTATATAGTCATCTATATACACATATAATCATCAAATCATACATAATTAAGATATGAAATTGAGAGAAAATATACTTAGAGAGATCCCTTTCTTTCTCTAAGTATTGTCAACTCAATTTGATTAGCCATCTCTTCATAGGGAATTGTTAGGTTAATAGATTACATTGTAGTCTATGACTTAATAATTATCATGAATAATTCCATAGAGCATTAGGACACTTTATTTTGTTCATGATTGCTTTATTGTGTGCTTAGATTTAGTGTCCAAAAGGGTTAGAAACATTGATTTGATATCCTATAACTTAGTGATATTAAGGACAATAATTAAGGACTTGGTCTTAGCTAACTTAGAACAATCTAGGAAGAACTACACACATTCCTTTTGGGATGAAACTCAAACATAGAAAACTAGTGTCACAACCCTTTGATTGAATACATCTCATTTGGACATTAATCAATCTTATAACAACTAGTAGATTTAGGATGATCCTTCATTAAAGATCTTTTTTCTTTTGTTTTGATAAATTCAAATAAATTAATTAAAATCCATAAAAATCCAAATGAATCTCAATCAATTCTAATCAACCCTAAAACAAACTTACAATTATTAAAAAATCAAAACAAAGGCCTAAATATCATTAAAATTAAATTAACCCTTAATTAATTCTAAACCTTACAAAAAATGTAATAAATCAATATTAAACCCAAAAATTATAAATAATACCTCTAATTGACCAGAATTAAATCCTTAACCAATGAAAAATAAAACCAAAGT